AGAAAACAAAAGAAGGAAAGGCTGGAAGACATGATGGCAAGCACTATAGGTTTTTTCGCCAGCTTGAAGCCCTCTATGGTGAAACCAACAATGGTGCCTCAGCCTTAGAAACTCATGTAGTCATCGGAAGCAGTTTCAGGAACAAAACACCGAATGCAGTGCCTAATCAAGAAGCCTATCCGGCTTCAAAGATTTCGGACTACAGCCTTAGTCTATCTAATTCTTCTGATTTTGATACTACCTCATCAGATGATACTGATCTCCACGAAGGAGTAGACGACAATTCGACTAACAAGAGGAAGAAGAGTAGAGGTAAGAGGTGCTGGAAAGCAAAGATAAGAGGTTTCATTGATAGCCAAATGAGGAAATTGATGGATAAACAAGAAGCCTGGATGGAGAAAATGATGAAGACAATTGAGCATAAAGAACAAGAAAGGATTTTGAGAGAGCAAGAATGGAGAAAACAAGATGCAGAAAGAATAGAAAGGGAGCAAAAGTTTTGGGCTAATGAAAGAGCATTGATTGAAGGAAGGGATGCTGCATTAAGGGAGGCTTTGCAAAAATTGAGTGGAAAAGAATTAATGGCAGCTGCAGGGAAAAACCCGAACGACGATCGAAGTGAAACTATAACCAACACAGTTAAACGAGACAATATTTGGCCTGATCGTGAGATTACAAGACTATTCCAGTTGAGGACTAGTATGGAAGAAAGATTGCTACAAGGTGGAGTTTCTGAAGAGGTCATCTGGGAGGAAATTGCCATAAAAATGGCCTGTTTTGGACACGACAGGAGCGGTTTGACGTGCAAAGAAAAGTGGGTAAGTGTCAATAATTATCTACTCGAGTGCAACAACAAAAGAAGGGAGAATCCTAAAGGCTGCTCCTATTATCAGAACAACATTGAATCAATATGCAATGAACGAGAAGCTGATAATACATCAAGATCAAATGATAATGGAATGAATGACTTCTGCTTTAGGTACTTCATGGGAGATGCTGACAACATATGGGAAAATTATGCGCTGAAACTCAACAAGGGATAGAAATAATTTATTCTCAGTGAATTGTTTCTGATGAATTTAGACAATATTAAGCTGAAAGTGTTATTAACGACTGACGTAGGGGACTTTACCAACTACCATCCATGTATTGAGATTGAAGTTCTGCTTAATTTCTGTTTGCAGGTTGTATATTCCATGGTAATATTTTCAACTCCTTTTCTCCCTTGTCTTGAATCACTTGATGGAAGTCTTGTGGATTGCTAGAGTTCTGGAGTTTGTGTGATGTCAATTGACTGTGATAGTTTGCTTAGTTTTTTCTTGTTTCCCTTTTTCTTTTATATATTGTTGATTGACGATCTTATAAAACAAAAATTACTTTGTAATGTTTACCACTTGCTTGATTTCTATTTTTTTTTAAATACATTTTTCTCTCTTCTCTTTTCATTGATATATTCTTTAATAAAATAATATTACGTTCAAACCTAAAACTGTTCTTTATTTTTTAATCGCATATTTTTTTATCAATTTACTATTTCAAAATGTATTCTAACATGGATTTCAAACATAGCCATAGTTTAGTAGATAAAATTTTAATTTGTTTTTTACGGTTTTTATCCTGTGGTCCAATCCACATAATTGTATTTCAATTATAATATTCTTTTCTTTTCTTTTTTCTTGATATTTTAAAATTGATTGAAGCTAAATCATTTCATTTCTTCGTACTAAAGTAACATTGCATTGCATTGTGTGTATATGTACATCAAATTTTTTTATTCAATAAATGTAAATTCTATTAATTAAAACATCATGTACAAGTACATTGGGTATATCCAGGCAAAACAAAAATCATGGATGTACAAACGACAAGTTTATCAACCCAATGCTAGAAAGTCAAAATGAATCAAAACATTAGAATACAAAAAGAACATAACTTTGCATACATGTTTTTTAATCCGTCTCACAATACTGTCAATATATGGTTTGAGATTCTCCAAAATAATTCTATTCCGTGCCATCTAAATTTGGTAGACCGTGCAAGCAAGAGCAATTCTCTTGGCTTTAGATTGCCAAAATGTGTCTCAGGCTTCTTTCTTCATCCACTTCAGTACACTAAATATCGTCATCATTGACCTCCTCACCCTCACCCATTCTTTGATCCGTCCCCATATGCTTGAAGACAAAACATATTGAAAAAGTAAGTGCTTCTCTGTTTCAAGGTGTGTACCATAAAAGACACTTATCCTATCAATGTTAAGATGCATCAACTTATCCATCGTTAAAAGCTTAGACTGTGTAGCCAGCCACAACATCGAGTGTTTTGGAGTAACGTACAATCTCCAAATATCCCCTGTCCAGCACCTTTTTTCCACATCGGTCTAAAATACTATATGCCCTGCCCATGCAAAAACAGCCAGAAGCTATCCAGTTAGATAGCCTATTAACTATAGCATGGTTAGTGAGTTCCGACCCTCTAAGCTGATTTCGAATGTCCAACAGCTTCTTGATCAATGCAGAGTGCTCATTCCTCGCCATACATTCCCAAACAGTAGCCCCACAGAGGTAAATTTGATTGATTCATAGCGAGTAAGAACTTTCTTACTATGGATATTCCAAATGGATTTTGAAAGTAGTGCTGAATTCCAACATTTTATATCTCTAAATCCCGGTCCACCCTCATGTTTTGGCAAACAAACATTACTCCAAGCAACCAACGGTTTGTTAGTAACCCAGTGGATGTTGGGGCATAAGCTAATGATCTTTGAAGCAACCGCAACAAGGATAGGAAATATGGAAAGCAAAAAACATTCCATACCGTGAAGAACGGATCTAATAAGTTTCGCTCTTCGCGCATAGGACAAGGATGCCTTAGACCAACCACATGTATCGGAATGACATAGAACCCTTGGACATATTAGTTAATTCAAAAATTTCCTCAAGCTCTTGTCATGAACCCCCGCTGTGTATAAACTAGACTTGCTAACATTCACCATCAATCCCGATATGTGTCCAAACGTAGACAGACAATCCATCAAGATAACAACGAAAATCGGATCTCCTCTAGCAAAGAGCATCAAATCATTTGCAAATACCAAGTTTGTAATCTTTAAATGGCCAAATTTGGGATGATAATTGAACTTGCTATTCTCCGTAGCTCCATTCAACATTCTCAAGAAATTGATGAAGTGCATAAGGGATTAGAGTCTATGATGAAATGGGACCGTCATAAGGCATAAAAGTGGTTTTTGATTTCATGATAACTTCGGGTTTGTTCATTTTGGCGAATTGCTAGTCTAATTCGATTGGAATCGAGCCAATAAATAAAACACAGGGCCTTTGGCCCTGATGCAAGGCCACTTTTGGGCAAAATCCCTCGTTTAGATGTTTTTGCTATTTATGGTAATTTTTGTTTTTCCAATATCTTTTTTCATAAAACTCAGATTTATATTCCGTTTGTTGGAGGATGATCCTGAAGATAAGGATTTTCCATCTTAGTAGCTATCTCATATTTTTCTATTTTTCGAATTTTGCTAGGTTTTTTTTTTTCTATTTAAGGCGTTAAAAGCCCTTTGAGATGACAATTCCTGAATTCAACAAGATTTTCCTTGAGAGTTTTCTTATTTTGTGATTGTTTATCTTTCTTATAATCTTTCGCTACATCAGAAATTCTCAAGGCAAATTACAAACAAAAATGGCAAGAGAAGGCCACCTTAACAAAGACCCATTTTCCTTTTAAAGAATCCATAAAAAGCTACCATTGAGCGCTATAGAATATGAAAGAGTAGAAATACATTCCATCACCCAACTGATAAACTTCATAGGAAAGCCAAGACCATGTAGCACATTCTTGAGAAATTCCCAATTAACCGAATCATACACGTTCTTAAGATCTATTTTGAGAAGGCATTTAGGAGCAACTTTCTTTCGATTGTATTGTCTTAGAAGCTTTTGTGCGAGATGGATATTCTCCAACACACTTGATCCACAATTGACCCAAGGATGGGACCCAATCGAGATGCAAGGATTTTAACAATTACTTTGTAGAACACATTACAATGTGAGATTGGTCTATAGTCACCAACGGATGTAGAGTGATTAGCCTTGGGGACCAAAAGCGATGATCGCATGGTTCATTTGCTTGAGAACAGAGCTAGAGGTGAGGAATTCTTTGACTGCTCCCAGAAATTCTTTTCCAATAATACTCCAAGATTTCTTGAAGAAGCAAGAAGAGTGCATTCGGACCCGGTGATTTATCATCTCTAATAGAAAATAATGCATCTGTAATCACTTGTTCCGAGATATCCTGAATAAGCGCTAAAGAATGCTCTTTTGACAACACAGGACCACCCCTCAAGATACCAAGGTCAATGGGCTCCACCAGACTATTTTTCTCAAGTTACTGTAAAAATGCACAAATTCATTGTCCACTTCTTCCAATGAAGAAGTATACGAGTATGTTCATCGTTGTTTATATGTATCAATGCATGCGTGTAATTTAAGTCCCTATTTGACAATTTTAAAAATAAATAATTTAATTTTTATATTCAACTCTAGCTAAATATTCACACAATAAAATATTTTGCACATAAACTCAAAATTTTTACCCACTTCTTAATCACACGCCCTTCCCCAAAAAAAAAAAAAAAATACTTAAAATATTATTTATATACAGTAATGACCATCGAACAAGTCGAAGTTCCATCAGAGGTGGGCGCTATTTTTCTTAATTTTGTTTGGAAAAATCTTCAATATAGGGAGAGAAAGGCAACAAACATATGATTTGATTGAAATGACACCGCCTATCGTTACTTGGCTTAAAATAAAATTGAAAATGATACTTTCAGGTTCCATTTTTAAGACCTTAATTGGCCTTCATTCGGGATTCATTTCTTCTTCATAAATTTTACTTTTCAAAGTGTTAAGTGTATATTTTGTAAGATATATATCAATCACCCATCTTTTAAAAATAAAATTTTAACTACAAAATAATAGAACACAAACCGGCCTGCATTGCACCGAATTCTTTTAAGGATTTGTGAATTTTGAAACTCATATCTTTCATAACATTTGCAATCAGTTCTCAATCCCCGAATTAAAATTCATATTTTAATATAAATAGAAGTGAACAATTAATTTTAATCAAATATTTCATAAATTTCACACATTTCATTAACTTTTATCAAAATCTATTAAAGATCTGATTTTAATCCCCACCAAACAGGAGCTAAATATCAACTGCTTGTTGAATTCTCTTCGAACATACTTAAAAATTTTAATCCAAGTTTATATTATTATTTCACCTAAATTAACTAGAGAACCATTATGCATAATTTAAGTGTCAGCACATTATAACGTTTATATTTACTGAAAAATATTTCGTGCTAGACAATTTTTTCTCTAGTATTAACTGGAAGCTTTGTTTTGGCAAAGTAACAATAATTTTCCAAGTTACAGAAACAAACATTAGTACAATATCAACAATAGTGAAATATCACTAATGCTTGGTCTATTTTGTCATGATATCATGGTCCTTATTGCATCATTTTCTCCAGCCTTTCGAGTTTTGAAGTAACATTTTTGCCAAACACGTTAAAATAATAATAATAATAATAATAATAATAATAATAATAATAATAATAATAATAATAATAAAATAAAACTGAGAAAATTAGAATTTCAGCCTATATGAATTAGAGCAACTGAGCAAGTCATCAATCCTTTAGATCTTCAACGTAAATATTTGATCAGCTTATACCAAAACATATAACGTTCAGATCCATGTACGCAATATTTCTTATAAACTAGACGAACCTCAACGGTAATTCTATAGTTTCTTCTTAAATTCCATACAGGGTTTCCTCCATAAATGAAGGGTGACAGAAAACCTGAAATCTCACATGTTAATGTAGTACTGATTCAGAGGTTGCCTACTGCACTATCTAATGAAGCTTCTCACTGTTCAAACCCCAAACAAGGCAAAATCTGATGAAATCAAAACACTGTATCTTTTCGACTCTGACTCTGTCTCTACCTTTGAATTCTTG